AATCTTGACTAGTTAAACTGAAATGGTTTGTAACGGCATCAGTCAGACATCCGTATTATTTGACCGCCTTAATGAAACCCACCCAAACATTAAATTCACTATGGAATATGAACTTAACGACGAGTTCAATTTCCTGGACGTAATGTAAAAAGAAGAAACGATGGAACGGTTGGAAATTCGATCTACAGAAAAGAAACATGGACTGGACAATACCTTCACTATAACACCTTCTGCCCTATAAGCTGTAAGAGGGGATTAGTAAGGGCCAGAAAGTTATGTTCGCCTAACAAGGTGGGAGAAGAATTAAGCTTTGTTTAAAAATGCCTTAAAAAAACGGGTATCCAAAAGGATTTATCCTAAAGTACAGCAGAGAAAGAGAAGTATCCAACATTTGGAAAGAAAAAAGTGTTCATACAAAGGAGAAACAGTATCAAAAAAGATTGAAAAGAGGATCAAAGGAGCAATAAAGAGATGCTTCCCTGAAGCCAAGCTGGTGAAACTGTACAGCACTACATGCTCTATAAGCCAATCGAAACTGGATTATTACCCTCCTGATGTTACCTCCAACTGCATTTATAAATTTACGTGCATCTGCGGTAGCAATTACATTCGAAGGACAGAAAGAAGAGCTTACATTCAGTTTTCAGAGCATATTCCAAGAAACTTATGCTTAAAAGGAAGCAGATATTTACAATGTGCAAATACCAGACACCCACCCTGTGGATACGGGTCATTTTGTCGAGATTTCCAAATCCTTCAAAATATTAAACACACAAAAGACAGCGAATCTACTACGATTTCCTGAAGCGATTGCAATCAGACGTCTCAGACCAAAATTATGCACACAGGAAGAGAGTGTAGCCAATCTCTCACTCCCTTAGTAACCGTATTGCTTTCATTACACTGATTAGTCACACACACTAGTAGGCTCAGCTCATTGAACAAGTCTTCAGTTTGATGAACTTTAACCTTCTTGAGTTGCCATGTTAACATACAAGCTAACAGTGTTTACGTCGGTGGTGCGGCGGTTAGGACGCTCGCCGACCATGCACATGGTCCGGAGTTCGATCCCCGGCCACAGACGCACTCCTTTACTTCGCTAAGCCAGAAATAATTCTGGTAAAGAGGAAAGGTTGGGCATCAGGCTAGCAACTCCATCCTGTAAAATAAACACTGCTACAGAAACTGTAAGCCACTAGCTTGAAGCCCTATGTTCCACTGGGGAACGTGAAGGAAAAATTATTAACAGTGTTTATTAGATTTTTCTGTCTTCTCTCACACCCCCCCCCATTATTTTCATAGTGTGATAGCATATAAATTGATGGTGACTTAAACTAGAAAATTGTAATACTTGTATTCCGGATGCGTTCTTCGCATGATGTTTTCTCTATTACCTTTCAAACAATGAAGTATGAAATATTGTTATTTATAACTATTATGATTTCAGGTAGTTTGCAGCTGATGAGAAACAGAATGACATCATTTTATACTGCAAATCTGGTCTTTCTTTCTCTATCGAAATTGAAATCATTTCAGTTTTTGAGTGGAGTTTTCAGGTGTTGTTTGATTTTTGTGACTTTACTAGGAATTTTCACCAATACAGGACAATTGTTCATTTACTTGACATGGTATAGTGAAAATGTCAATGAATTTTTCAAGATGATCTAAAGCCTTTAATTTAATTTCATGTTAGATTTCGTCAAAAAAAAAATATCAGTTAGAGGGATTAATGAAAACCAGGGAGCACTGGACAGTTGTTTTGTCCCATGCTGAGACTCTTCAGCAATGTGAAGTCACTAAGCCAACAGGGATCAAACCTAAGACCTACTACTGGTTACAATGCCATTCTCGTTGACTATCCAGCCACTGGAGTCGGAATTCAGTCGTCTGTGAATTCTAACTTTGTCAGTTCGTGACACAGCACTATCCTTATCAATGCCTTCAGTGAGCGTCCACTTCGCCTAGTCATGGTGGACGCCGCTGGTCACGACTCATCAATACAGCTTCAGGACATCCACACAGTAGCTCATCATGGGACTAAACAACTGCCCAGTGCTCCTTAGTTCTCAACAGTCTCTCTAACTGATGTTGGTTGGGCATGAAATCTAAGAACTGAAATTTCTGTGAAGCGTGCTGAACATATCCTTAGACATTGACACGAGTCAGGAACGGTTAATAGATTCTGAAAGCTTACTTAGTATACCATAATTCAACTTTTTGTCACTTTAAGAACAGTTGTTCATACAAAAACCAAATGTAGTTACATGATACTAGACAGCCTGAAATTTTTCAATGCAGTCAAGATGTACAACCTAGGTCCACTAAATTTCACCTTAATTTTATATGAATACCGTATACTTTAGGGTCTTACAAACTTCTTACTTCTTGTTGTTACCTAATTTTATCCTGTTTTCTGAAAGGCTGTTCAACACTGTTTAAGATATATTAAGAAATGATGCCGTTTTGGGACACCATTTGATGAAATTGTGTGGAACAAGAAGAGTTGAGGGAAAGTTTTCTAGAACATTCGAGGATGTTAAAATAAGTACGCAAGACATTTTATATGCAGATACAAGTGTTTATCCTCCAACTCCTAAGGTAATTGTGTTCTGCTTAGACCAAAGATAAGTAAAACAAAACAACAAATTGATCGTCAAAAGTAAAAGATATATATTTCAAGATCGGAAAAGGCAGAGTGATGGTGGTGGTCGCTTAACTAGCTAGGGTTCAGATACGAAACTAAAATGATGGAATACCCAATGTTATGGATGCTTGACAACATACCTTCAGCTTAACAACTCAACTTAACCAGTGAAGGTCAGAATCAAATGTTGGATAAAAAATGCTGCAGACTGCTAACTCTAGGGAATTAGTTACCGTTAAAGTTTGACTAAAAACTTATCCACAAGGTGATAAAAAGTAACCTTATATTGTAGTGAGAGCTAGCTGCTAGCCAAATTGGTAGACAGTAATTTACGTCAGTGTTTGTGTCAGCAATATTGATCGTGAGAAAAATAAGAACAAAGACTGATTCAACAACCAATCACAGCAGACTTGGCGTAGGCAGATACAGTTAAATATAGATGACCTGACATTCAAGAAACAGCCACAAAGAGATGCAAGATCAACTGTCTGTGAGAAACAACCAATCAGAAGACTGTGTTTGTCTGCTCACAGTAATTTGTAATAATGTACATGAAAGTCTATAAATATCTGTTGATTTCCTAAATAAACGATCTGTTGCCTGGCCTTTGCCTTCTGTTGTTACAATATTATCCGGATACACTAGCTGTTCAAGTGTTCTACAGATGCTAAACATGTAGTCCTAGTTAATAATAAGGCTAAGTTAAAAGACAATTTAGTTTGGCAGAATATGAATATAGTCCATGAAATCTTGGTCTGAGATGTGATTCGCCTATTAGGCATCCAAAAGTAATATCTTACATAACATAGCTGAGTTCACAGTGATGGTGCACACACACACACACACACATGGATACCTTATATTCATCTGAATTCTGATAAAATGTTTCAGTATCAACTTTAGCTATTTTTTTCGTGAGTTGTATTTTGTTTCTATATCTCTTTATTCTCTCATTTAACCGCCTAAATACATAGAGATGACTGTATATTATGTTCTTTCGCGGTCCATTTATTACTTAAGATGTTTCAAGAGTCTCCCCACTAAAATTGTATGAGTTTCAGTGAATCGATCGACGAAATATGAAGAGTGATCAACAGTATGGTGAATATACGCTTGTGATGATGTGACAATCATAAACACTTCAATTATGTGTGTTTATTTTTAGTCTAACCAAACACGCTGGAGTATCTATTAAAACAACCACACTTTTGTTACGAATCCTTCTTATAAATAACTACTTTAAAGTTTCAGGTTTGCTTAGCACATATACATTTCCATCTACGGTTATGCTTCCCCTTTTTCTAAGTACCGTTTTGTCGATGCAAACAACCACACTTACACCAAGGTCACAATATAGATCTTCTAATAGGCCATGTTTTAGATTGATTAATGTCAGTATGGTTGTGTTGTTTGAGCTAGAATGGTTCAGTTATGGAGGCTTTTTTTGTCTTTCTATAAAACTCACCTTCAGCACTGACTTCAACATTCGGACTAAGATAGATAAACCCTAAAGTTCTAGGCAGAAAATCGAAAGATAAAAACGACTATCTCAACGAATATAGTGATTATGAGTAAATTTAATAAGAGTAACAAAGAGTCTCGAAAGCAGTCACCTGACTGGCCATGAAGTTGAACTCTTTTGACAACTAGAGTCACTCCTAAACAGAATGATCATGTTATTTTGTCTTATAAAAAACTAATAGAAATAAGAGACTTTGTTCTGTATTTGAGGTGATATGTGGCACTTACAGTGACTACTCAAATTCATCTATACATATCTTGCAAATCATATTCAGTTATTAATGGTATTGGATGGAGGATTTCATCATGAGCTGAAATCAGTTAGAGGACCATTGGAAGACCTGCAGTGAGTACTGGACAGATGTTTCATCCTAGTTTGGGACTCTTCAGCAGTACGCATCCACCGGGGTTCGAACTCGGGACCTCCTGGTTACAAGGCAAGCTAGCTCGTAGCCACTGGGAATCGATCCTACGGCCTATGAATTCTGACCTCTGCCAATTCACGAAGTAGAATTTATGGGCCATTGGATCGGATCCCAGTGGCTCAATGGTCAACGACCTCGCTAGCCTTCTGACAGGAAAGTCCTGGGTTCGGACCCCGGCGTACTGCTGGGGAGTCCCAAACTAGGACGAAACATCTCTCCAGTATTTCCTGGTGGTTTTCCAATGGTTCTCTAACTGATGTCAGCTCATGATGAAATCCTCCACTGAATCAAACAAAATCCCTACAAAAACAATACTTGAACATTAATGATATTCACAAAAGTTTAATCTATCCTGCGCTTAATGAGTTAATGACTACTAACCAGCGATATACAAGAGAGAACAAAGATTACTGTTTAAAGCGGATAAATCTATCTTACTTTTATATTTACAAATCAAACATTTGTATACAAGCAAGCACGTGGTTATCATAAGTGTAATAAGTGAAATTCAGTTAAAAGGCAACAAGGTTATTTGTTGAATATATACAATTATGTTGGAAATAATAGAGAGAGAGCGCATAAAAACAATATTGCAGTACAGAGCGCACTATATATGAAAGAGTAAATTTTCAGCCAAGAAATTTTTTATAAAGCATAGCTAACAGAATAAAAATTTAGCCTAAACGTTGCCAAATATTTGGTTTACGTGATTTAATTGCACGATTTCCAGGTATACCAAGTCGTTCCGAAACAGATCTTAATCGATAAAGAAGGGTAAAAAAAGAAAGAAGAATGAATATGAATGGTGTGAAGGTATATTTAATATTGATTACGACAAATTATATTGGATATTAAAACAAAATGATGATAAACCATTGCAATTCATTCCAATTATTTGTCAATAATTTCAGCCATTCTATATCAATCAGAGATGTTTTGTTCTTCACCAACAATCAGTTAGTTATTCAGTTATTCACCCTTTCGCAATTCCTTTTTAGAAGTTTTCTTCCCGTGTACATAGAAATTCTAATTACTCTTCTGAGAAGAATGCTCTGTATACTACTCACATATCTAACTTACAACAGAGTAGTATGTTAAGATAATTCTTGCAAACTTTACGGAGTTTCTTATTGAGCTGCATAATCGCTTTGAAAAGGAATTCGCATCAGCACCAAAAAATATCTTTTAATTTACCTTGAAATATGTCTAACTATTAACAGTGATAAGTGATGCTTACAAGGATTCACTACGGTCGAATCAGCTGTGTGAAAGACGATAACCAAAAAAACAAAACTTAAGTGTTGGTTTGTAGGGATTTGATTGGTTACAGGATTTCATCATGAGCTGACATCAGTTACAGAACCATTGGAAAACCTGAGAGTAGTGGAAAGCCGTTTCGTCCTAGCTTGGGACTCTTCGTCATTCAAACTCAAGACTTTCTGGTTACAAGGCTAGCGAGCTCGTAGACCATTAAGCCACTGGGACCCGATCCAATGGCCAGTTCATGAATTCTGACTTCTGCCAATTCACGACATAGCGCGACCACTAGCTAATGTCTTCAACGAGTATTTGTCCCCACAACCGACCTGCTGCACCCTACTGGTTACTACCTCTCACAAAACAAAACTGTACATGTAAACAGTGCGTCGGTGGCACAGTGGTTAGGACTCTCACCGACCATGCACATGGTCCGGGGTTCGAGCCCGCACCGACGCACACCTGAAATCTATGGTCGGCCTGCAAAATTTGGGCTACCGATATCCATGCTGAAAATTCCATACTTGTACCGAAAATACAGTGTGGAATCAAGCTGTAAATAAAAAAAAAATCAAAAAACTAACAGTACCAGGTTTTTAATATCACTAAACATAACACTAAAAATTTTAAACCAAAAAAATTAAACTACTCAAATAATGAAAGTACCGTGGTTTTGTTTGATGAGATTCCATGTCTGCTACCATACTCATCGAAGACAATAAACGTCTAGTTCGAAAAGTATTTTCCGACTCCATTGAATTGATTTCATTATCTCCATCGGAATCAGGCATTAAAGTGACTGTTGCGATGCCACGGGGATAATGACGATTATTCGATCTAATGTGATTGCGACTACTTGAATACATAACAGGCTTGGGATCACCAGATAGCGTACTGCCCCATGGTTCTCGTGGATCTAGGACTACTATCGTTCCAGGTTCTGGAGTCTCAAATATGTCATCGTCTTCTTCATCATCACCATCATTGCTGACCCAACGATTTGGTATTGGACCACGATCTCGACGGGGCCATTTACGAGGTTGTCTTGAAGATTTAGGCACAGGAAATTCTAAAATATAAAAGAACATTTTTCACACAGGTAAATGAATATACATACTATGCAGTAGACAACCTTTGGGGATGTTAACTGCTTTTCAAGCATGATTTTTAATGATTAAGAATCATCCGTTTTGAAATGAAAGTCGCAGAAAGCATCCCTTCAACAGATACATATACTATACATACATTGCAAGACTTGCATAGGTGTTTCACAACAACACAAGTATTATTGTACACACACACACACACACACTAGGAGGCAGTATTCAGTGGTATCCTCAAGCTTGAAGCCCTACGCTTCACTTGGAATGCGAAGGAATAATAAAAATTAGGAATCAGCGCTAATTAAAGTGGTATTAGGTGGTTGGAGGCAATCGGCAGGAAGCCTTGGACCTACGTTTCGTGCTAGTTGGCACTCGTCACAGAAAGGCGTATCTGCAACCTTGAAGGAACTCATGTCCCTTCTGAGATTCGAACCCGCGTCACCCAGTGCCAACTAACAACAAACCTAGGTTCAAGACTTCCTGCCGATCGCCTCTAACCATCTAATACCATCAAATCAATGTGCACCGTGATGGCGAGCTAGCTAGAATGGTGGTCACATTACAACCTGACTGACAGAATCCAGTCTACACCAATCAGAGGACTAGACGCATCACACTAGTTACTAGTGTCAAATCAAAGTAATATTGAAGTGGTTGACACTTTTCAACCTATTCGCATCCTAATATCACACAGTATAGCTAGCTGCAACACAATTCCGAAGGTGAAATTTTGTGTTCAGAAAGTGAGTAACACACTTATGAAACAGTAAACACTAGTGTCCTACGATAAGTTAGCCAAGAAATATTGTTCTACTTCAAACAGAAAGGAGTCAATTACAAACCACCACATTCATGCTCGGAACACTGGGTACCTAAAATAGCGTATTTTTTAACAGTATTTTATTCAGACTAACTGTAGAAACCGCATCTATTACTCCAGACTAATCAAATCACTGCATTATTCAAATAAAACTATCAAATCAAGTTTTTAATTCCACACAGTAATATTCATTCCAAGTCTTATGCTAGCTGTCTTTGACCATAGATGTCTGAGTTCTATCTCTCATGTTAGGTGACATAATAAGGTGAGCAATATTGAGGATAGGCTTCGGTCGAGTGCTAGGTAAGGAGGGGAAATCAATCAACGAGGTTGTGAAGTTACACCGGTTGAGATGGTTAGCACATGCCTAGCCATCATCTTCCTTGACGAGCGATGTTAGCTAACATAAGATCAGGTTGGAAAAGAGTCAGCTAGTGCTGGTCAAACCAGAAAATTGCTTCATCAGTCAATGAAATCCACGAGACACTTAGTTTAAGCCACATCGGGAGGTGTAGACTGTGCGTCTGGTTAGTTGGAGACAATCTGTGATATGGTACAAAATCGTTCTCAAATGGCTGGCGTAGATGCATTCACTTTTTATGATTTACAATATCCAATAAAGCTCTATTGTTTTTTTTTGATGTGGTTTTGTTCTCTGAGCTGGATGGTTAGTTTGCGAAGCTTTCATCGCCCTACTGGGTGACATCTTCAGCTCTATTGTTCTTCCATATTACTATCCTTTTTTTCCTTTCCCACTTCTGTTTATTATCTCTCTTTATTCTCTTCGCTTACTTTGTGTGCCACATGCAGAGTGTGCAACTCGAACTGCTGCACATTAGTGCAAAGTTCTACATCGAAACCAGTCAGTCAAGTCTTACGCCAGGATGCTAAATCAGATGAATATATTGTCGAACCTCGAATTGGTCACATAATGAGAAACTTTGCGATAACCAAGCCGAGACACTAACAATTAAGTGTCAAGATAATTTTTGCAGGAAAAAATGTCAACAATATTATAATTATTATAAATAAAGAACAGGTGAGCTAATGTCATACCACTGGCATTTCGACGTTGTCTCGTATTGAATTTTGTAGTATATTTCGACGATGCTGTAGGCCGACTCTGTAAGTCTGTTTCATCATAGAGATTATCATAAACAACTAATGGACGTTCAGGTGCAGGCGCAGGTGCTTGAGCAATTGGATTCCACAGACTGTAGTCATTTCTACTACTAATTTGATTTATAACTGCATCAGGATCATCATAAGCATTAGCAACTAATTCAGCGAATTGTGCAGACAAACTTTCGATATGACGAGAATCTCCATTTGGATCATTGCTTGATTTTATCCGAGAGATACGAACACGTCGTCTATATGAACGTGTTAGAATACCAGTCATTCCGCCATAATTAGGATTACCAAAACGACGATAGTATAAACTTCGTCGTTCTGCACCAGGAAGTTTTACATCAGCTGAAAGACAATACAACACAACAAGAGAAACTTTGAAACCACAGAATTATGCAAATATAATAAGAAAGTAAAAATCGTGTTTTATTTGTACGTATTGTTTAGTATACGCGTCGTTTAAATGCCAATCAATCAGGGATAATAGTTAGTCGCTGAATAAATAAAATAAACAGTATTTTAACTGATTAAAAATACCCATTAAATTTTTTCAAAAGAATGGATACTCTTTTAGACAAATTCATCATCAGGCTCTACAGTTATGTATACATTATTGTGAATAAATGAATCAGTGTTATGAACAACATTATTGTTCTTTAAATAACATCGAATCAATAATATTGATTTGCATAGAAAAACCACTTGGACAGGACAATTATACACATTTTCACAGCTTCGTTCCTATCAAGTACAAAAGAAATTTAGTGAAGACCCTAAGCCACACAGTTAGAGCTATATGCTCAGAAGAAGTAATTGAAGATGAATTGAGCATTTTGTATGATACTTTGATCGAAAATGGCTATCCCGACAAATTTATCAAGAATCATATGACAAAGAAAACGGAAAAGGAGCACTCACTATCTGTAAACAAGAAACCTCTTTATATACGACTACAATTCATGGGCGATATATACCAAGCGAGATAATTGCGAAGAAGTTAAGAAAATCAGTTCAAAGAACTTTTAATGCTGGCGAACTACACGTATTATTCTCTACACGACCGATGGTGATTCCTCGACTGAAAGATGAAGTACCTAGACTAGCCACTTCAAATGGTATCTATCACTCCAACTGCGCTTGTGGAGCCAGTTATACTGGTCATTGCTCTAGGAACTTGATTTTTCGTGCTCGAGAACATCTCCCAGCACGGCTAAGTAAAGGTGTAGTAAAAACCACTAACAGTTCGATATTGGGCCATCTGGTGCACACCGGCCACAAAGCCAACGTAGAAGAATCCTTCTCTATATTATACCGGGTGCCAAATAAATTACCAAAAACGTCGAAGCACAGCAGGCTCCAAACAGCAGAGGCTATTGCGATTCGCCTCAAACAACCAGCGCTCTGTGTTTAAAAGAAGCAAGTCCAGCCACTACTACTGCCTTGGCATTCAGTAGAAACTATGAACTCATGAGACTGTAATATTATCTTTCCTAATTTTTCTGATATTCTGCTTATTTTATGTTGATGCAATTGACCTGTAATCTATCAATATTGTTGATTTGATGTTACTTAAACATTAATGTCGTTCACAACACTTACTCATTCATTCACTATAATGTATATATAACTGTAGAGCCTGATGAATTTATCGAAAACAGTACTCTTTGTTCAGTATCCATTCTTTTAAACAATATTTGATTGCAGATACCGTCTCAATGAGAAAGTAAATACAGGTGATTTGCTGGCACAAATTTACCTTCCATACAAACACACTTTTTTTAGTTACAACTTAATATAATTTTCTTTGGCACTGAATCTTTTTCCAGAGAGTTGAACCTGAGCATTGTGTGGTAGCGCATAACAGAATAAAATTATTCTTGTGTTGTAGAAGAGTGACAAATTAAACTCTCGTAATAACTTGAAGCCCTATGTTCCATTGGGGAACGTGAAGGAAAAAAAATCGAAATTGTTTACTTTAACGTTTGCAAGAATGAGGTGTTTGGATCAATAAAAAGAGAGACTTCTAACTCATGGTGAGGATTTATGCTGTTTGGTGTTTTCTGAGCTTTCATATTTGGTGGATGATGTTTAATCCGAAGGCTTGGTGGAATTTTCGGCACTAACATCATTAGTGAAGATGTCACTGAGCCTGATGACGAAACGTCCACAGGTAAATCAATATAAAAGCTCGAAGAACACTAAAGAATTTTCTCAGTGGGTGAAAGTTTACCATCTGATAGAACAGCTGGCGAATAATGAGCAAAAATAACGCATACTAGGTGAAACCTTCTTCTTCATTACATGATGTGTGGGATTTGAAAACTATTCAAGTACAGAAAGCTGATTTTTGGGTGCTACTGCTCGACCATTTCGGTGAAAAATTAATTACTTTTTAAAAATCATACGGTTGAGATGACATAATCAGTATTATTGATATAAGTCTGTCTGTCTGGATTCAACATAGAACTTGGCACTGAAGTGCACCAGTTCGAGTTGCCACGTTCCAAATAGCATACAGAGGTAGACAAGAAGATGAGTGAAGGAAATCAATAGAGTTTGACAAGTATAAGAGTGAAACAGAATGGGTAATGGTAGAAAGGAATATGAAAGATTACAGAGACTGAATATAATGCGCTGGCCATTGACAACGATTTTGAGCCATGTCACCTATTGTCTCCAGCCATTGATTCCTAGAGTCCCGAGGGCCCCAACCCGGAAGTCTGCATCTCCCTACCTACGACTCAGTTTAACTGTCAAGGATTTCATGGATTGATGCCATGTTTTTGTTTGGCCACCACTTGCTCTTTTCCAACCTGCACCTATATCAGCTAGTAATGCCCGTCGGGGGAGCGAGGCGATGGTTAGGCATGCGCACCTGACCTAGCCATCTCAGTCTATGTAACTTTATAGCCTCGTCGATTGATTTTCCCTCTTTGCCCAACACTCTACGCCTAACGTCAACATTACTTACCTTGTTAAACCACCTAACGTGAGACAGAGATCGCAGACATCTATGATCGAAAGCAGTCAACCTTTTCATGTCTTCAACGCGTATTGGCCATGTTTCAGAGCCATAGAGAAGGACGGAGCGAACTGATGAGCAGTACACACGTCCCTTGGTTGATAACCGGATGTCACGCCTACGCCAGAGATGGTGTAAGTCAGCGAAAGCAGCTCGAGCTTTTCGGATCCGTGCTGAGATTTCATCGCCAATCAGTCCGTTGGTGCTAATACAACTTCCCAAATAGGTGAAGTGGTCAACATGTTCTATCACTTCACTCCCTATCACTAAGTTAGGAGTTGACGTGTCCAGTCCTGTAGCAGCATCTTACATTTTGTAGGGGCGAATCGCATGCCAAACATACGAAGATTGCTGCTCAAGGTGTTCAGAAGACTCTGCATTTTGTCAGCATCCTCCCCTAACAGGACTATGTCATCTGCATATTCTAAGTCCATAAGACTATTCCCTGGTAACAAGTCGATTCCTAAGTCTTACGTTCAGTTAAGGATACTTCCATTAGCATATCTATGATGAAGTTAAACAGAAATGGGGAAAGTGGACATCCCTGTCGGACACCACTGGTTGTTACCAATTCAGATGACAATTCCCCATAAGCCCTTACACGACTACGTGAGTTTGAATAGAGTGCCTTGATTAGTGCAATGTACTTTCTTGGCACTCCCTTCACAGTCAGACATTGCCATAGTACCTTTCGATCCACGGAGTCGAAGGCCGCCTTCAAGTCAAGAAATATGACAATTGTTGGACGCCGAAAAGTGTGTCTATGTTCTAGAATCTGTCGAAGAGTGAAGATATGATCTATGCACCCTCTACCTGGTCTAAAGCCTGCTTGATTTTCCCTTGTCTGTTCCTCCCGAGTTCTGCTTAGTCTATGCATGATTACTGAGCCTAGGATTTTAGAGACTATGTTCGTTAGGCTGATCCCCCTATGATTATCACACGAGGACTTGTTTCCCTTCTTGAATATCGGTATAATAAGTGACTTACCCCAGTCTGATGGACTGTCTCTGATTCCCAGACTTTGCCTAGTACCTCAGTTAATCTACAAACTAGTATGTCACCCCCATATTTAAACACCTCCGGAATAATTCCGTCGGGTCCTGCCGCTTTGCCTCGTTTCAAATTACTGATAGCTTTTGTGACCTCACTTACAGACGGCGGACCAGTGTCTATATCCCATTCGGGTGTGTGTGGATGGGGGAGGTTCAGTGTGGCTGTAGGCAAGTTAAATTGTCCTCAAAGTGTTCTTTCCAGCGTTCAAGGCGTCTATCCTGAGAGCTAATTAAGGAGCCATTTTTCTCAGAAATAGTCTCACTTATGATTTGCCTTCCCCACCCGTTTCCCTGATGAGTCTAAAGAGTTGCCTAGTGTTGCCTATCGCCGATGCTTTTTCCATCTCTTTTGCCTTTGTCACCCACCACTGTTCACGGTCCTTGCGGAGACTTTTAGTAAGTTTCCTTTTGTGCAGCTTTCGCTCCTCATTGAATTCGGAGCTCGCCGGAATAAGTCTTCTAGCATCTATCAGTTCGGATGAGGCAGTCGAAATCCAGTGGTTTTTACTCACCTTTGGATTTGCCTTATTCACAGCTTTTACAGCTGTATCTATAGCTGACTGAATATTCTTCCAGGCTTCTCCAGGGTGAGCACAGCTGTCGATTCAGATATGCGTTTAGCTAGTTCTTCCTCAAATAGGGATTTAGTTTCCTGATCGAGCTGGGGACGTGATGGTTTTACCGCCAGCTGTTTCCTACGTCCGTTCAGTCGTAAGCACACACGAGCCCGGACCAGTGCGTGATCGGTATCTACACACGTGTTCCAGAAGGAGCGACAATCTCCTACCGACCCACGCCAACGATAGCTTATTGCTATGTGGTCTATTTGTGTCCAGCGTTGGTTTGATGATGGGGGTCGCCAGGTTAAACAGTGTCTCTCCTTGTGTTTAAAGTTAGTGCTTACAAGAAACAAATGATTATCTGAACAGAACTGTAGGAGACGGTCACCGTTGTCGGTTCGCTGGCACGGAACTCCATAGGTGCCACCGACATCCTTCTCAGATTGACACAATTTCCCTACTTGAGCGTTAAAGTCACCAGCTAGAACGACTATATCTGAGCGTTTAGCCTTTCTCACCAAACTAGACAGCTTTTGGTAGAACTCATCCTTCGTTTCATCCGAACTGCAGTCAGTGGGGGCGTAGGCGGAGATTACGAAAAGGCATCGGCGAGTAGTGCAGTCCTTTCTCCTTCTTACTGATCCGTTCAGACGGACAGCACACATTCGGCTATCTACCGGGATCCAGTCAAGCAATGTCTTTTCTGCCCTAGTACTCAAGCTATCCCTACGCCAGCTAATCCTCGTGAACTAGCTGTGGCATCTCCTGACACCCTCAAGGTGAATTTTGAAGATTCATCCTGTTGGCCAGGTGGGGTTAGGTGAATAACCACACTTGGGTCTTGTATGCGTGTTTCTGAAACACAACATACATCAATGGCTCGGATGCCAGGGTCTTAGCTAGTGATGCTTGTTGTCCTATTTGGCAAAGTGTCCTAACATTAAATGCTCCTATATGAAATTGGTGGCGTGGCTTTAGGAGACTATCGGTGGTGGTTTTTTGGCTTCGTCGTTTTTAGTGGACACAGAGTGAAGAGGGAGTGAGGAGCCATCAAGTAGAGGAGTTGCATCAGTGGGAGGAAGGCAAGGTAATGGAGATGAAGACAAAGATAAGTGAGGATTAGAGAGGTTTTGTGTGCATTTCGGATTGTGAGGGCGTTTGTTACTTCCCGGCTGCCCATACCGTGGAAGTTGGTTTCGTGACCGCAGAGCCCAGGGGATACAAGTATAAAACTTGGGCACTGTGGTAGAGCATAACTCCATTAGAGGCAAGATTTTACTTTGATAAATCACACAATGTTGCATAGTAATATTAACTGATGATGTTTCAAGCACAAACTATTGTCACTCATAATCATATCACGTCACTCACACTTTTTACTTCATTTATATACATGAGTGAAATTGATTAGACATTTGAATAAAATCAATATAAGATAAAGTACACTCAGAAATAATAATATTAGTGTTATCAATCAAATACAATCAGATGGGAAATAAGACGAGCGTTTTTATAGTCATAATAAGTAACTTGTTAGAATGTTGTAATGTGTTTGAATTGAAATAGAAATTTAAGATTATTGATTATCCTCCTCTGACTTGACTGACTGGTGGTAATAATATCTTTCCATATCTCTGGTATTTGCGTTGAGTCATTTCTGTTGCATGTATTGGGTGCAGACTCGATGAACCAGGATTCAGTATATATTGATTTTATTCAAAGGTCTAGTCAATTTTACTCATGTATATAAATGAAGTAAAAAGTTGTGTGAGTAGTGCTTTGATACGGTTGTGAGCGATAGTTTCTACTCGAAACGTCATCAGTTAATATTACTGTACAACACTGTGTGATCTATCAAAATAAAATCTTATCTATAAATGGAGTTATAATCAGTATTATTGGGAATTCAGATACGACTAAGAATGATCATTTCTAGGTGTATGATAGTGAGATTTCTTTCGTTACAACTGAGTCATATTTAACATTCTAGCACATACAAAGTCAACAGAACTACAATTTTCTATATTTTGGTTTGTAAGGGTTAGTTATGTTTTTACGAGTTGACCACGGATTGATATCAGTTAGAGAACCATTGAAAACCAGCAAGGAGTACTGCCAGACAGCTGTTTCATCCTCGTTTGGGAATCCCCGGCAGTACACCAGCAATATTGAGGTTAGGCGTCGAGTTCTAGGTAAACAGGGGAAATCAATCTACGAAGTCGTGAAGTTACAAAGACTGAGATGGTTAGGACATGTGTTACGTATGCCTGATCATCGCCTTCCTCGACTGACTGGCAATGTTAGCTGATATAGGGTCAGGCTGGAAAAGAGCCAGTGGCGGTCAAACCAAAACATGGCTTCGCCATTCAATGAAATCCACAACAGTTATTTTAAGTCACGCAGGAAGTTGTAGACTTCCTGGTTGGGGTCCTCGGGACGGTAAAAACAAATGGTTGGAAACAATTGGTGACATGGCTCAAAATCGTTCTCAGTGGCTCAGATGCATCCACTCCTTGTGACTTATGACTTCCAATTAAACTGTTTTGTTCTTCGTTATTACTCCTCCTTTGTCTCACATCTCTGTTTACTGTCTCTATTATGCTTTTCTTGTACTTTCTTCTCTTGGTTTGTGTGCTACATGGAGTGTGGCGACTTGAACTGGCGCACATTTGTGCAAAGTTCTATGTCGAAAACACACAGACACCGGCAGTACGCACCCACTGGGATTCGAACCCAGGACCAGGATGGATGTCCCATCAACGACAATGGTTGGGGTCGCGCTAAATCACGAATTGGTAGAAGTAAGAATTTATGAGCCATTGAATCGGGTCCCAGTGACTGAATGGTATACGAGCTCGCCTTGTAACCGGAAGCTCCTGGGTTCGAATCCCAGTGGGTGCGTACTACCGATGATTCCCAAACTAGGATGAAACAGCTGTCTGGCAGTACTCCTTGCTGGTTTTCAATGGTTCTCTAACTGATATCAATCCGTGGTCAACTCGTGAAAACAGAACTACAATTACCTGTTGAGGACATTTCAAAGTGACTTTAAAATGTAAAACATTCAGTGCTACGTAATCATTCAAATCGTAAAAGGGTACTACATACTAAAATCATTTAAATATTATAAGACAGTTGAATATTCACTACACACTAATACAACATAATATTTTAGAATATATGCCTAAGAAAATAGTCGATTCCAATGAATACCTACTTACTTTTATGCGGAAATCTCAAGAAAAGCGATATTGTTTGAGGTGGAACTGATAAAGCTTTATACCATCGACCAGTTGGAGGTAAATGCTGTGAAAACTGTTCAATAGAATCCAGTGTTTCATTTGATACAGTCAGCGATTTATTTTCAACAGATTTTTCATCTGAATTCTCTGACTGACTTAAACTGTTCTCATTGCTTTCATCGCTTTTCTCTAAAAGTAAGGCTAAAGCAGCGGCAGCAGCAAGAGCAACACGGCGATCAAACGGTTCTGCAGAATCGGATATTGCTCGTAGAACGCTATTTTCATCTTCAAACACCACATTACCTTAGCAAAAGGAGAATATAGTTACAAAGCAGAATAACAAATGAAAAACAACAGAAGTTTAACAATATGGGTAAATAATCTATGCAACTGACAAGAAACAAATTTCAATTTGGTAATGAGCCGAATTAAATATGCACTACAAATAACAACTTCAGGTCACTCTTCGTTCATATATTATACGATACCCATTGTTGATTTTTTGATTTCAGCTTGATTCCACACCGTGTTTTTTTTTGGTACAGGTATAGAATTTTCAGCATGTGATATCGGTAGCCCAAATTTTGCAAGCCGATCATAGATATCAGGTGTGCATCGACAGGGGATCGAACCCCGGACCATGTGTATGGTCGGCGAGAGTCCTAACCACTGTACCACCGGAGCACACGGAAGTAGACGATATACCAAGGTACTTGACTACAGACTCGAATTCAATGAAACAAAAATTAGAAGATTTTTGAAATAGGGCGGCAGACGATAGATTTTCGTCTCTATTCAGATTTAAAGACGAGAAGTTAATGAATACTGACTGACTAACTGTTTTGTTCTTGTTTGAGATCTACTCAGTAGTTCTATAGAATTAACGATCACAACAAACATGTTATTAGCCAGATATGATTTTTGACTTCTTTCAATACGTGACATAGCGGTGTGTGCTACTGCCATCCAACTATGATCAACGAAGTACTGATTGCAATGAAAATTAGCTCGATAGACGTCATTAGTCAAAGTTGTTCACTAGAATTCCTTTCATTTCTACACAGTCAGTCTAAAGTAACTCACAATTAAGAAACTGCATCAAAAGTTATAGTGGCTGAAATGAGGACTCCCAACTATGAAGATATTCACATAACAAAAATCCATTGGAGATGAATATGAAAAAGTGATAAGTATTAGAATTCATTCGAGTTATTTCAGAATAAAAACAGTTGTAACTGGCCTCCCAAGTCCAACTTATCTGAGGTTTACAGTGAACTTAACTCAACTATCATTTTTGATAAATAAACACAAGCAGCTCTGCTACAATTGGGATACAACAAATCAGATATTTCATGGGAAAACTTACCCTTAATACAACTGTTAAATAGCAGCAACATCTGTGTCTAGCACTATAATTTCACAATTCATTGATACCCTCTCTCTGGAGTTTATCAAATACAACTGACAAAACCGAAAAAATACATGCCTTTGACACATTGCACGTCCGTGAATAGCGAAATTATAATATAATTCCCCTTAATTCCTAGAGGAACATAGAGCTTCACCTGCACATCTCCATTGCTTTCTGTTTTCTGCCAACGTTTTCACCCCGCTCCAAGTCTGCCCACATGCTTTCATCTCCTCCTCACATGACCTCCTCCAAGTCACCCTTGCACTGACGATCAACTCGCCGCTTCCCTTTCGGGTTCCACTTGAGCTATGGCTTGTCTAGTGATGCCACTTGATGGTTTCCTCAGAGTATGGCCAGCCAATCCATATCCATTTCTTCCTGCCTGTTTGTTGCACAATCGGTTCCTGCTGGGTTGGTTCGCTCTCAGAGATCCCTGTTGCTGATCTTTTCTGGTCGGCTATCTGATCTTGAGTATTGAGCGAAGACAGCTGTTAATGAAGGTGTGTAATTTGTTTAAAGTGCTCTTTATGACGCACCAAGTCTCTGACTCGTGTAGTAGCACTGACTGACTTCACATTGGAGTTGAAAATCTGGATCTTATTTTTGATGGTGAGTGCTGTTGACCTCCACACAGACTTGAGATTAATGAAGGCTTGTCTTGCTTTGACATCCTCGTCAGTTCTGTCCGCTTGTAGTTGAAACGATGCTTCCCAGGTAGGTGAAGGAAGTTCCTTCTTTCAGGTTCCTCCCATTTATGCTGATTATTCTCTGTTGTTGTTGCTGTTGGCCAGGAATCTTTATCACCTCTGTTTTCTCTATGTCCACCTGAAGTCCTATCTTTGGTGCTTCTTCTGTCAACTTGTTCTATCCTAATAAGGAAATGGAATTAACCGTTCTCCGTTTTACAAACCAATAATATTGGCAGATAATCAGATAGGAAAGTAGATCATCAAAGCCTAATCAACATTAAAAAGCTGGTCAACATGACATCCTGACTAACGAATCAGTGTAAAATTCCGCACAAAATTGTATCAGTTCAAACTGTTATTTTTAGGGAAATTATACACAATAAGGGAACAGAAATAGAATGACACTACGATAGAGATAAATAAGGGGGTGAATACGGAGAGAATAATTAAATGGGAATTAGTGAAGATTTTCTGAATCTGGAAAATAAAAAGGAGTGAATACATCTGCATAATTGGGAACGGTTTTCAGTTATACCGCCAATAACAGTCTTAAACCATTAGTTATTAGTTCTCTGAGAACGCTGACCAGACAACTTATACCACCAAGAGTCAATGACTTTATTATGGACTGTTGATATGTTTTGATATGACCTCAAAATATTATCAAATTTAATTATACTTCACCCCACAGTGATCGCTAGGAAGACGGTGGCTCGGTATACGTAACATGTGTTCTAACAACCTTAATCCACAGAGTTGTATAAGCCTATCCATCGACTTATCTAAGTTGCTTAACGGCTACATTGAGTTATATTACTATTTATCATTTTACTACGCTTAACAGGAGCAAATGGACGAAGAAATCAATGGTTAAAACATATAATCTCATACACTGGTACCTAAACACAACTGTCTTAGCTACAGAGTGGGATGGAACAGAATGCTGTGAAGTACACACACACACTTTCTGTTGAATAGCCGGATGCCAGGTCTATACCAAAGATGATGTCAGTTCAAAAGTGTCCAACGAGATTTCATCAGCAACCAATTAGTAAAGTGGTCAACATATTAAAGTACTTCACTCCCTATGCTTAGGTTAGAAGTTAGAGCAAGTCAGTCCTGTACTGTCATATTATATTTGATGAGAGTAAACACCAAATTACTCAAATTTTTTCTTAGGGTGTACAAAAGACTACATATTTCCAACATCTTAGCCTAAAAGGACTATATCACTTGAGTATTTTAAGTAAAGTAGTAGTTCTCTTATTGGAAGCAAATAATTTTCCTAAAACACAGAAGTAAAACAGGCGAACATCTAACAGCTCATCTACAGATAAAATCAAATGAAGTCTATAGCCTCTTTGACTGACATCGTTAGATAACTCTAGAGAAGAGGATAAGGAATTATTTCAACCACTCTTATAGTGAAACAAGTAAAACTCTAATGTACGCTGATTAGTCATCGGGGACTAACTAATGTTACTAAGCTAGGCGACTCACCATCGCGGTGTACTCTGAATTGGTGGTAATTGGTTGGAGGTAATCGACAGGAAGACCCTATGCCTAGATTTTGTGCTCCTTTGCACTTGTCAACAAAACACATTTGCATCACTTCCCTCGAGATTGTGGATACATCTTGCTGACGGGTGCTAGCAAGCTGAAAACCTAACTTCAGAGCTTTCTACTGATTACTTTCAACCATTGTTATAAGAATAGAACTTGTACACTGTGGTAGAGTATAATTCATTTTGATAAAGTTTTACTCATATCAAGGTCTGTCTGTCTGTCTGTTTTCGACATAGAACTTTGCACAAATGTGCGCCAGTTCAAGTCGCCACACTCCCTCCTTGTAGCACACAAACCAAGAGAAGAAAGTACAAGAAAAGCATAATAGAGACAGTAAACAGAGATGTGAGACAAAGGAGGAGTAATAACGAAGAACAACATAGTTTAATTGGAAATCATAAGTCACAGGGAGTGGATGCATCTGAGCCACTGAGAACGATTTTGAGCCTTGTCACCAATTGTTTCCGACCATTAATTTTTACCGTCCCGAGGACCCCAACCTGGATCATATCAAGGTGAGTAGCTTGATATGATGATGAGCAGTAATAAATTGTGCTCGAAACGTCATCAGTAAGTATAATTGTATAACACTGTGAGACTTTATCGAAATAAATTTTACCCATAATGGAATTGTACTATCAACCATATTATATCAAAGCTCCACTGTATCCCCCCATATAACTGCTTTTCAAACTACTCTTAATATTACGTAACCTATTGTTTTTGAAATTGCTTTTGTGATACACCCTTTTTTAACACGTGATATTAACTTTGCTTCTGGGGAAAGAGACTCTCCATAGAATTACTGATTAAAAACAACAATGATGAGATCTAGACTCACCAACGGTGTCTCGCTAAAATACACTATTGTTAGTGTACTTTACTTATCTATTCCAAAACTATTCATTTGATTAGTTAAAAGGTTTAAAAGCTTTAAAGGTAATAATTCACTCATATCATGGGGGGGGGGGAGGGGAGGTACGGTAAATGAAGTAAATAAACTAACTGGACTGAAAACAAAACAAACCCAATTAAATGTATTAAAAGTTAATATTTGTCTTGAATAGTGTTCAAGCAATCATCTAATATAGTTCACAAGGATAATGTATAATTTGCAATTGAAGAAAATAAGCATGAAAAAGAAAACAAACAGAACAAAACCTACATGATGCATCATTAATCCATTCTATAGTCTTTGGATTGTAACCAGATAGCCAAGACAACACATCATCTGTACTAAGATTATGAGTACCCCAAATATGAAGAGCACATGGTCTATAACCCTGCTCTACGATATCATCTCTTCCGTTTGGAAAACCTAGATGTTTGTAAATTTTCATAGCTGAAGCCTGAGTAACAGCCAATTCAGAGCCACAATTACAATATTCCGACTAAAAATTTAAATGATAAAAATACTTTTAACTTTACTAAATAAGACATCTGATAACAGTAAAAAGAAACCCATTTCAAATTATTGTTTAGTGAAAGTATCAATCATGATTAGAATACAGGCTGGTAGCTACTATATACACTAGGCAAGAATTTGTTAGCAAAGCTGCAACCATCAACAACTACATTATTATTATTATTATTAATATTAGGATATCACTTATTACACAATTATTTAATCAATAATACTACATTTGCAATCAGATTCAGTTTACCAGTCAGTATATATGACACTACATATTACATCGTTTCGTTAATCTATTTCAAACTCCAGATTCATATTCCGGATGTGACACATTAACTGTTTTTAGCGACTTATGGATTGACTTGTTACCAGGGAACGATCTCGTCGATTTAGAGCATGTAGATGATATTATCCTCATAGGTGAAGACGCTGAAGAAACAGAGAGTCTTCTGAACATTTTGAGCAAAAGTCTTCGTATGCCTACCATGTTTTATAGGAATCCATAAAACGAAAGTTTCGAAGTCGTCTAGCTATAATTAATATACTTATGAACAATAAATTGTGTTCGAAACTTTGTAATTCAGTAAATAATACTGTTTCATTATGTGATATGTCTAATAAACAAATTAATATGGAATTGCCATGTTACTATTCTTTCCTTCGCATATTTATTGTTCACTGTAGTTCTTTTGAATTTATTTTCTCTCCCATGGACAGAAACGATGCATTTTTGTGACTTCATTCAATCCAATAGCATCGATGTCGACAAACCGATTCATAAATTATAAGAGCTGTTGCTTCGATGCACCTTCAGGGTTTACTTTAGATTCAATAACGAAATCGACAGGCAAATAAATGGTGTAGCAATGGGTTCTCCTCTAGAATGCCTTCTTTGCCAACAATTTTATGCCTAGCGTAGAAAACAGTTCCTCAACATCAACTAACAAAATGAGCTTCATTTCTACAAGAGATACATTAATGATGCTTTGATTATTTGTGATGAGAATTTTGGACTTTGGGAAGCTACTCCAAACCTTCAGTAATCCTCACATAAACATCAATTTCACTCTGGAAGTTGAGTCAAACTATATGTCGCATTTTCTGCAAAGAAATGCTGGTAATTCGCTGAGATCTATTTACAATAAGTGCATATGGCACAGACAGTTAACCAATTTTCAAAGTTGTGTCCCACTAAGCAGAAAGAGAAATCTCATCTATTTTTCCCCTCAAAGATACGGAAAATATGCGCCGAAGAATCTTGATGGATAATGGTTTCCCATTCAGATTCATAGACAAGAAACTGAAACCAAAGAAAGCTGCTGAACTAGTCTAGGTCGCCTTCAAAAAGATGCTGATGTTTAATCTAGAACTTAAAAGTGACACTGCAGCAAAAATTCTCTGAAAACGACTTTCGAAATCTCTCAGTAAAACATACTTCACTACCAGCCTACGAGTAAGATGAACTTCCAAGACACTATTCGACCAGCACGTGAAAAACAAGCTGTCGCGATGAGACACTTTAACACGCATATATCGGGTCAATTGCTCTTGTGGATATGATTACACTGGCCGTACCCTGGGCCTACTTGTAAAATGTGCCCAGCAACACTATCTACCTTGACTAGCAAAGGGAAAACGTAGCTTTCTATAGCTCTGTAACAGAACATCTGGTGAAATCAGCTCCATTTGAAAAGTTCTATACAAAATCCAGTGAATCCTCTCAAAGGGAGTGAGATCAGAGTATCTGGCTGTAGCTGAGGCACTAGCGCGATCCATAATTTAAAGCCGACTTCGTGTTTATAATCTTACAAACCCGTTAAATCCCCATGTTTTTCCATGTTACTATTCTTTCTTTTGTACATTTCCGCTCACTATAGTTCTTTCGAGCTCCCTTCTTTTACTTTAGTGTGCTACATGGACTATGGCAACTTGAACTGTTGCATTTCTGTGCAAAGTTCCATACTGAACCTCTGTTAATCGGTCAACAAACGTAATTGTTACAAACTTAGCTAACATTATGAAAACAAAATCCATTGAAGAAGTCTGGAGAACTTTCTAAGTCACAGACATTTGGTATTTAAACGGACCAGAAAGTTCATGCAGATAAACATGAATATCACATTTGTTTAATCAGGTGCAAACTACTCAGACAACCATTTACTAATCACAGAAAGAACAATTAAATTATATTTCTGCACAGAAGCCACCTGTAGACCATCTCATAAGACAATATATGACACAGGTAGCACGAAATCTATGACAATGTCTGACTGTGTAAACCATAGTAAGTTGGGTGAGGTATGAGACTTCAAACACTAAGCCAATAAGTTATGACACAAGACCGAAGGTACGAGAATTCGTTTTCACCTTAAACGGTTTGCCTGCACCAAATAGGCACATCATCAAGCAAGTGCTTTTAATATTATTAAAATAGCCACTCCTGTATATGGACAGCCGAGAACAGTAATAACTGGATTAAGATTTGACTACTGAGCTGTGATCAACTACTGTTCACTGAAGGCTAACAATATTAGATGTGTTTAAATCTCGACAGGTCTGTCTGTCTGTTTTCGACATAGAACTTTGCACAAATGTGCAGAAGTTCAAGTCGCCACACTCCATGTAGCACACAAACCAAGAGAAGAAAGTACAAGAAAAGCATAATAGAGACAGTAAACAGAGGTGTGAGACAAAGGAATAGTAGTAACGAGGAACAACATAGTTTAATTGGAAATCATAAGTCACAAGGAGTGGATGCATCTGAGCCACTGAGAACGATTTTGAGCCATGTCATTAATTGTTTCCAACCATTAATTTTTACAGTCCCGAGGACCCCAACCAACAAGTCTATATCTTCCTACGTGGCTTAGACCAACTGTTGTGGATTTCATTGACTGGTGCCATGTTTTGGTTTGACCGCCGCTAGCTTTTTTCCAGCCTGACCCTATATCCGCTAACATTGCTCGTCGAGGGAGGCGATGGCTTGGCATACGTAACACATGTCCTAACCATCTCAGTCTTTGTAGCTTCACGACTTCGTCGATTGATTTCCCCTGTTTACCTAGAACTCGACGCCTAACCTCAATGTTGCTCACCTTATTAAGCCACTTCACACGGGAAATAGAGCGCAGGCACCTATGATCAAAGACAGCTAGCCAGCATTTTCATGTCTTCCACTCTCAGTGGCCAGGTCTCACAACCATAAAGGAGGACGGAGCGGACTGATGAGCAGTACACCCGCCCTTTGGTTGATAGTCGAACATCTCGTCTACGCCAGAGTCGGCGTAAACTGGCTAATGCGAAACTAGCCCCTGTATTCGTGCTGAGATTTCGTCAGAGATCAACCCGTTGGCACTGGCTGATGGTACTTCCCAAATAAGTGAAGCGGTCAACGTGCTCTACCACTTCACTTCCTATTTTTAAACTAGGCGTCGATGTAGTCCAGTCCTGTAACATCATCTTGCATTTGGCGGGAGCGAATCGCATGCCAAACATTCCTAAATTGCGGCTCAAGGTGTTTAGAAGACTCTGCATTTCGTCAGCGTCTTCGCCTAGAAGGACTATATCGTCTGCATATTCCAAGTCAACGAGATTATTCCCTGGTAGCAAGTCAATCCCTGAGTCGCTGAAGTCACCTAGGGTTAAGTCCATTAACACATCTATGATGAAGTTGAATAGAAAAGGAGATAGTGGGCATCCTTGACGGACACAGCTAGTCGTCATCAGTTCAGATGACAACTCGCCGTAAGCCCTCACCTGGCCGTATGAGTACAAGTAGAGTGCCTTAATCAGTGCAATGTATTTTCTTGGCACTCTTTGCAGGCAAGCATCACCAGAGTATATCTCGGTCTGCAGAATCGATTGTCTCCTCTAGGTCAAGAAATATAATGACTGTTGGACGCCGGTAGATATACCTATGTTCTAGGATCTGTCGGAGGGTGAAGATATGATCAATACACCCTCTTCCTGGTCTAAAGCCTGCCTGGCTCTCTCTTGTTTGTGACTCCCGAGCACCACTCAGTCTACGCATGATTATTGAGCCTAAGACTTTAGATACTATATTAGTCAGGCTAATCCCTCTGTGATTATCACAGGAAGACTTGTCTCCCTTCTTGCATATGGGAATAATCAGTGACTTACACCAACCCGATGGGACTTCTTCTGATTCCCAGACGCTGCCTAGAGCCTCAGTTAATGCAGACAGTAAACTGTCTCCACCGTACTTAAATGCCTCTGGAGTCATTCCATCAGGTCCCGCTGCTTTGCCTAGTTTCAGATTGGTGACAGTTTTAGTAACCTCAGTTAGTGATGGAGGACCTGTGTCTATATCTCATTCAGGGAGGTGTTGGATGTTCGGCAGGTTGAGCGTGGCTCTGGGCCAATTAAACTGCTCTTTCCAGCGATCCAGTCGTCTATCCTGGGAGCTAATTATAGTGCCATTTTTCTCCGAGATTGTTTCACTAATGATTTGCCTTCTCCACCCGTTTCCCTGATGAGTCTAAATAGTTGCCTAGATTTGCCTATCGTCGAAGCTTTTTCCATCTCTTTTGCCTTTGTCACCCACCACTGTTCACGATCCTTGCGGAGACTTTCCGTAAGTTTTCTTTTGTGCAGCTTTCGCTCCTCATTGAATTCGGAGCTCGCCGTAATAAGTCTTCTAGCATCTATCAGTTCGGATGAGGCGGTGGAGATCCAGTGGTTTTTACTCACCTTTGGATTTTCCTGCTTTTGTTTGTCCTTTATTGTTTTGTGTGTCTCAGTAGCATATTTATCACTCCTGCCCTGTGGCATGGCAGCAGGAAGCGCGGTCGTTGTTAATCCGGGCCACGGCCGATCCGGGATGAAATTTTGTGGTTTTCTATGTATCATTATGTTGGATTGGGTAGCTGCTTTTTGTTTAACCGCTATCCAAACAACCTTTCTGGCATGGTAGGACCTCAAGAGACATAAGTCTCAGCCAGTGTAGCTTGAATAGGTCATTGCGGTGTTCAGGCCCGACCACCACGTCAAGGTAGCAGCTTTCGGTCGGGCCAATCTCGACAGGACTGTGGTTTTATATCCTGTCATAAGGATTGCAAAGTCAGCACCGACCTTAGTGAAGGACAAATTCACCGTGTGGTGATTTACACATGAATAAAAATGTGGGATCTCATAACATGACAATCTATGTAAATGACATAGGTGGACCTGGTGATTTATAGACAGGTAACTTTTGTTAACTGGTACAAAGTGCATGAATATTTTAAACATACACTGTACTTTGGTTTACTTATATAATCTCTTAACAAAACCATTGACTCCAAGTTTTGATTAGAACAGTCAAGTATGGAATTAACAGGTTACATCCTTAGGAATATGGTAAACAAGAGGATGCAATGAAAGTCGCTCCAATATAAGAAAATGACAACAAAGATAATGTAGTGAGTACATACCTCACACGGACAGTACACTGGTAATGATATTTGTTCTTTCTGATCGGGTAATTCTCCACAGTCCTCAACATCTACAGTTACTTTTAAACAAGGGACTGAAACAGCCATAATATTTGTGTGCCCCGATCAAATCAACTGATTCCTACCTACATATAGTAAAGACAAAACAATTAAAATAGACTCAAAACAAAAATAAGGGAGATACAGTTTAATACATTTGAACTGATCTAGATATGAAATCATCTTTACATTGTAGATTCGTTAAAAATTCAACAACATAATGATGGGTCATCGGATGCGTACCCAGTATACACTGATAGTGCAAAAAACACCTATGAAACAGAAAGTTACTATCAGTCAAATGAAGTAGTTGGCGATAATATTAACACGGAAACTGTAAAACTGAAAGAATGAACTAAAAACAGCAGTTGGCAAAATGTAACTACACATAAAAACGGTGTATTTGTGAGTGGTTTCAAGTGGTTCACATGTTCATATTACTAATCTAATTCAGCATAATCTGAACTGAGAATGAGTCACTGAAAAAATCTTATGTTGGACTTATTAAATAAAGGAAAAATTTCCGACATAATCTGGGATTAGAATTCTACCAGACATGGGCATTATAAAAGGCTGAATTATTCTGTCCGTGCCAACTCAATTGTCCTGAGAAAGACTGACACTATATCCAGTCTGCTGTAGAAAATTTTGAGGACAGCTGGTAACCTACAGTCAAGGTTTAACAAACGACAGTGTATCCCTATAGCCTCATGCAATCTGGTAGACTCCAAAATCGTGACGAGAAGCAAAAACTGTTCAAACTCAAGCTAAATCTTTGCAGTAACCCCGGACAGTTGGAGAAGGCAAGACAAAGGAAGTCATTTTCACCAGGTTATACTCGTCAAACAATTAGACCTATAAAAAGAATGAGTCCTGTAAATGTTATGTAAGAAAACTACCGGGAAGAATAGAACATTGATAACTCCCCAGGACAGACGACTGGAACACAGGGCATAACGCTTTGAAGAGCACTCTGACTGATCTATGGGTGCACTACAGCTGTCTACCATCCAGTCCTAGTCGGAACAGAGTATAGAGGTCAGCTCTCCAACTCTGAATGAAGCGGTCCTGAGTCTCAAACTTAACAGGACAGGACGGCTTGACTTCAGAAGTGCTTCAGTGGTGGTAAGAAGTTACCAATTAAGTCAACTAGGGCACTAGTTAATGTACTGGAGTCAGAGAGGTGTAGATGATTGACCATTCCAGTTTCTAGGAAAAAGGAAGAAGCTCCATATGAAAAACAGGGATATCAGGTTGACTAATATATTTAAAAGCCGAGGATCCATAATTACATGAATATTAAGCGGAACATAAAAAGCCTCGAAGAATCTGGCAAGTTTCAGACAGAAAATGAACTGTATAGATCAAACATTCACCCCTTGTCAGGTCCTGGAACGTAGATATAACAACGACCATCAGTTGTCCCATTTTCCGATAAAACCAGTTGAATCAGACGGCCGAGAGGTGTTCTGGGAATTTAGCAAGTGCTTAGGAGGTAAATTATGCTAATTAAAGCATTTTATTCAAACTCGTAAAGTCGTTTAAGGGATTACGGAGTCTTCGAGACACTAGAAACAAGTAGTTAGGAACTTTTGGTATTACGACTCGACACCGTTTATAACAGTGAAGATGTTTACACCCCATCATCTTTTAGATCCTAATATTAGAGATTCATTATACTTCCTTTCTGTTTTATTTTATAAAGTGTAATAGCTTGAAATGACGCGCTTCCGTGAAAAGTTCTACGTAGCTGAATCAGGCTATTTAAGCGCTACAGCCTTAAAAACATATATTTGACTTAATCTGAAAACTTTTTGAATAGCTATTTCTGAACTAGTCTTGATACCATTGGTTTTGTTCATCAAATCTTCACAGAATAGGCTAGAATTCAGATCATGCCTAAAGTACATGTTATTGGTTACTTGAATTGGTAGTGCATCTTGTTCTGATTTCGTCCTATGCATTTCTACTTTAATAAACTCCATGGATAATCCATGCACTATGTAACCGAAAAAATACACATTTTTGGAACGGCTGTAAAACAACTATGCAGTTAGTCGATTGTCTACTTTAACTTATGCTCAACTTAGAGTCTAACTGTTCGTAAAATACCCATGTAATGTATGTGGAAATCGCCAGTAGTATTGTATTACTGGTTACCGAACACATTGACTACTATAATATTTGCAGGAAAATCTGTCATGATAAGTATATGAAGTTTATAGTAATAGGTAAAAGGAGTAATCCAAAAGAATTCTCAAATAAGACTAAAGGAGATGTGTACTATATAAGATAAAAAAGTAAAACGACCTCTATCATTATGAGGATGAATAAATGTCATTGAGACAAATTTTAGACTCTACAAATTCATCCTTTCATCTATTGGCTTCGAATGTTCTTTAATCGTAGAGTGATAAGTGTTACACTTATTTGGAAAGCTACATTAACCATGACAAGCTTGAAACAGAAATCGAAGGGAAACATTAAATAGGACTAGCCATCTGTGAAGATAAAATTATGTAAAGTAAACGCGATTTCGCGCCATTCTTACTGTACGGCTAAGAAATTGTTACCAAAGACAGACAAGTGAAGCAAGGACCATTCGATGAGGAAATGTAGGCAGTGAAGTTATACATAGGACCACCTTATTTAGAAGGACAAGTCGGTTGGCACTTTACCACTCCCCAGATTAGATTCCAACCTGAACATTGATCACACGATGTAGCCTTTGCTGTAAAAAATATAATATTATATATACATACATAAATATTACCACAAATGCGTAGAACATTAGGATAACCAAAAGGGTTATGGAAGTGATTTTGAAAACTGAATTTCCACCCCTTCAGCGAGTGTTTTCAAAGATAAGTCGGTCACTTACAGAGACATAAATTGCAAGAAATGACAGTGTGGATTACCACGGCCCATGAGTCCTATAACAAGAATGGGTGAAGTTCATCTCCACCCAGAAATGACCCCAATCGGACAAACGTGTGGACAAAAAGGGGACATTTATGGGAAAACGGTGAAAAAAGGGTGAAGTTTATTTCCAAAAGGGGAAAAATCCGATTAAACAGGACACTGAGGGGAAGCCACTGGAAATTCTGCCGGTTAAGGGGAAATTATGCGAGTAGAAGGGGGACATTCTGCTGAATAAGAGGAAATCGTGACGTTTGAAAAGGGGGGGAATGTGACAAAGAGGGGACAATGTGAGATATCTGGGAAAATCTCACTATCGCCCAATTTTGGCTCCCTTTTCACTCAATGGAATGTCCCAATTTTGTCCCCTTTTTTAACACGATTTTCCCCGTTTTTGTCGGATTGGGGTACCCTTGCTTATCTCACTAAATTACGCTATTAGGCCGGCTGTTACATCCTGACAGGACAAATCTGCTGGAATATAGAACTAAGACATTATACAACGCAACAATGCTAATGAGTAATGAATTAATGCATTCATACGGACCCTATGGGGTCGATACATTGGATTACTTAGTGCAAGAATCTGCTTGACTACATGCTGACATCTTGTTGAGTATGTTTACAACCGATAGCATTAAAAAAGGAAATTCAGAAAACTTCGGAAAACAAATTAGTAGACAGAATGGAAGAACCCACGGTCAAAAGTCACAACCAGCAACGACCTTGAAAAGGCAAAAAGGGACGGAACCAATGTACAATTTATTTACTTAGAACATATACAGGACTTGGGACATCTAGGTATTTATTTCTTGTCACCACTATATGGTTTAAGGTGCCTCGGATTCATCAGCTGGCCTGAATTAGTCCTTGTAATTACAGTTAGTCATACCATATCAGTTTGTTTCGTGGTGAAATTTACAATATCTTCAGTTATAGTTTCGCTCCTAAGACACTCTTTTGCATGATGGACTTAATTTTATCCACTCAGAACTGCATTCTGCGTTTAGGCTGAACGGCACTTTCCATCTTTTCTATTGGAACTAGTGGCAGTTTATTGTTTCGGAGATAGTACTTGGCACTGTCTAAACATTACTATGCTTCTCTGCTAACGATATGTGGTGTAGAGTTTGTGGCATCTTCAGGCATAATGCTGCTCCTGGGACATGTGACCATCATGACATCAAAGAGCTTTCAAAGTGATCAAAACGAGATAGTGTAATTGGTTTTCAAGGAAGGAAGAAAAAAATTGAAGTGAGACAGTAATATTTCAGGAAAAGAGGGAGGTAAAGGAGGTGGATAAAGGGAAAATGAAGAAGAAAAGAGAAATTTCCTCAGCTTATAATGCGTGTATGGCTTCATCATGTGAGAATTAGTTTGATCGTCTAGCTTAGTCATACATTTTTATAAATACATGTAGGATACGACATGGGGAGTGGGTGAGGTATTCATTGATGATATATTATACTTTCTGATAGATCATATGTCCTACTTCTTCGGTAGTTAACAGTCTGCTTCTTAGGAATTTAAATTATTTCAGTCTCTGTTTCAGAATCATACCACTTACATCTAACACCAAGTGTAGTAATATCTGCGAATAATACTGCGTCACTGTGTGTTTTCACTAAACAAATTCACTCTGTGGTGAGGTACTGTAGTACCCCTATACCAACTGTGAACATGCTTTTTAATCTAATTTGTAAACTTGTATTATATGTGTATACAGACCGATTTTATATGTACTTCGCAAACATTTGTCAATTTACTGTTGAACATTACCTTGACACGATTTCGAATTTGACTACTACTGTAATACACATTCGTAATCTTCGCAAGCGCCTTTTGATTTACGTTGTGGGCGTCGAGTAGCCACAACGTCTGCGCATATCAATAAGAACGAAGAAATACTAGAATATATGTGTACAGCAGTTTAGTCAGACAACGCACGCAACAAAATTGGTGAGCCCGACGTGATATTTCGACAGCGACGACAAATTGGTGTCCTTGACGATAACTGGTTCACCCCGACGACGAATTGTTGACTCCAACGACAAATTTCTACCCCGTCGACAAATTGTCCATCGCGACGACAACTTTTTCACCTCGACGATAACTTGTTCACTGCGACGATAACTTGTTGACTCCAACGACATTTTGTTCACCCGGACGCATCATTACACTTGCTGGATTATTTAAACTCTAACTTTATCGGATATATATACATATAATAGACATTTCGAGCTCATTCTTGTGCTTTCTCATCGCACAACTTGCAGTAATCTGTGGTAAGCATCTGCATTGCATGTTTTCTGTTTTACCATATTCTTGGTGTGCATAATTTTTGCTATTTTGTTACTGTTAAACCATTTTTCTACGAATTGTATCATGTCTTCCAATACCTCTAATAACTTAGAGCTGGGATCTGTTAGTACTATTTCTCTTACTGTACCAGTTTTTAGGCCCAGAGACCCTCATCTTTGGTTTGCACGACTGGAAAATTATTTCACTGCCAATAAGCTCACGTCACAGACGGCTAAATTCGGCATATTGAGTACAGTACTACCAGACGAAATCGCCGAACAGGTTCGACAATGCATCGTTCAGCCCAGCACAGACTCTCCTTACGACAAGTTGAAAGAAGAAGTACTTCGATGCACTTCACTTTCTGATAGGCAAGCACTCGATCGTTTGTTAAGCAATGTAGAGCTAGGTGATAAAACCCCATCGCAACTCATGAGGCATATGCAAAGCCTAGTAGCAGGAAGAGATATCGACAAACGTCTCTTTTACCAAATCTGGCTGCGACGACTGCCTGCAAACATTCAGCAAGTTCTTGCTTTCGGAGACGACGACATTGACATAGAAAAGCTCGCCAAAATTGCAGATCGCATGTACGAGAGGTCAACACCTCAATCTGTTGCTTCCACTAGCAGAATACCAGACACTCACGACAGGATACAGACTCTAGAACACAAAGTCGACACCTTACTGAGTCAGTTAGCAGCACTGACCACACACACACGACCAAGCCGTTCTAGAAGCTCGTCTCGTCGACGTCTTTCTCGGTCACCCAGCACGTCACGACATCACGATACTATTTGCTGGTACCACCGTAGTTACGGAGGCAATGCACGACGGTGTCGTTCACCTTGCAACTTTCAGGCCAAACCAAAAGATATATCGTCATGTATGAAAACTTCTACTGTCGGCAATCTACGATCTAGCAGTCGTTTGTTTTATGTAACAGATAGAAATACCGGTACTACGTTCTTAGTCGACACAGGAGCAGAGGTTAGTGTTCTCCCTCCGTCTACGCAGGAACGTCAACATCCTGACCCTGCAGTTACGCTCCAAGCAGTTAATAAGTCTAATATTGTTACATATGGTAGTAAACGAATGACTTTAGATTTTGGTCTGCAGAATACCTACACTTGGTCTTTCATCATCGCAGACGTTCCATCCCCAATCCTTGGTATAGATTTTCTACAGCAACACAAACTGCTGGTTGATCCGGTAAGCCCTAAGCTTATAGACTCGCTCAATAAAAAGTACATCGCTGGTACGATTAGCCGTGCATCATCGCTGAACTTGATGGTCACACGCACACCAGCACCTCCATATACCGACTCGGCAGATCAGTTTCCTGACATTCTACAACCATCTTTCCGATCAACAGACCATAAAGCTCCAACGAAAGCTTTATCAGCAAAGCAGGTTAATTACTCTCCGCGCGAAATACGACATCTCGAGTATATATCCCAAGTCAACTCCGATCTGCGACACATAAAGGGTAAAAACAATGAAGTGGCAGACGCTTTATCACGTATGCACATTGATAACATTGTATGCCCAGACATCGACTACGAACATCTCTCAAACTTACAACGAGAGGACGTCGAACTCAAAAAGATCATGTCTTCTAAAACAACATCTCTAAACCTCGAGGCAATTCCTTTTGGCACGACAAAAGTTATCTGCGACACCTCTACGGGTAAATATCGACCTTTCGTTCCAATAGCTATGAGACATACAGTATTCGAGAAGTTACATAACTTGTCGCATCCTGGTGTGAGCGCTACTACCAAGCTACTAAGAAAAAGATTTATCCGGCCGAACATTAACAGCGACGTTAAGAAATGGACACGAAATCGCTTGTCCTGTCAAAAAGTCAAACCAGCGTTCCTCGACGATTTCGAAGTCAACGATAAGGACCAGCTGAACGACGTGCCAACACCTACATCCACACAAGCTTCAACGTCGACAGAGAAGCCTGCGAAAACAACACGATCTGGTAGACGAGTCCATTGGCCTAAACGTTACGTGCAAGTCATCGAAATATAACTTACTATGAATTTTCATTTTTATTATCTTTATTCGTAATTGTCATTTGATTACTCATTTAACTGATTAATATTTTCATACATAAATCACGTCACTATTATTTTAACATCGATATTTCCTATATTATTACATTTAATCACATCTCGTATATTATTCACGTATCGTTTTCGTCTACCGACTACAGATCCCCGGACAATTTTATCGTTCCTTATATATTCTATTACGATTAGAAATTCCACTTTCCCTAGATTATCGCATTTATTATCGACGTTATTAACCGCATTAAACTGCTCATTTTTCAGCTTAATAAATCGCCTTCTGTGTACTATCGCTGCTACGTATTGCGCTGACGCATGTTATTTTCGAACACTTAAATGTATTTTTTATATATTTCAGTGTTCTGGTGGGGGAATTATGTAGTACCCCTATACCAACTGTAAACATGCTTTTTAATCTAATTTGTAAACTTGTATTATATGTGTATACAGACCGATTTTATATGTACTTCGCAAACATTTGTCAATTTACTGTTGAACATTACCTTGACACAATTTCGAATTTGACTACTACTGTAATACACATTCGTAATCTTCGCAAGCGCCTTTTGATTTACGCTGTGGGCGTCGAGTAGCCACAACATCTGCGCATATCAATAAGAACGAAGAAATACTAGAATATATGTGTACAGCAGTTTAGTCAGACAACGCACACAACAGTACGTGGTAGCCAGACGTACGAAAAACAATTAAGCGACAGCATGAGCAAAATTTTCACATAAAGATCACCTTATTAGTGATAATAAAAACACAGCAGTGGTCCTTCAACATACACCGCATCTGAATGAATACTAATATATGCCCCTTGGTTGAGTATGGGACAAGCGGAAAGGAGAAATGCATCCAGTTTTAATAATCGGTTTCCGTAGACAATGGACGGAATGAAACGAGATAGTGTGTCCAGCTGGAATGAACGTGACAGTTGTTCATCATCAGATTGGTACGTAATACTTAAAATCTGTACTTAACTTAAGGATTGTAATGAAGTAACAGAACACACTGTCAAAAGGTCTGACTAGGGCTACAAGAGTGAGTTAAAACAAGTCAGAAAAGAAGCCAAATATAACCAGGTTATCAAAAGCTTGCTCTTTGCCTTCCTATATACCTGGTGTCAACATTCTGCAGGCTAGACTTTGTGCAAACTCCACTAGGAACAAATTTGAAACTACTGGGAATTGTCTAATGTTCTTAAATGCTATGAATAAACTATTTCCTGAAGTTAGCCTGGTGTCAACATAACCTTTTCATATTTTTCTATCGGTGAGGTGCATTTATTACCATGACAGCTATACAGTTTGGGAGACAGATTTTAATATTTAAA